GCCAGTGAAGATGTCAGCTGACTCCACTGGGAGCTCCAATGCTGAGGTGGCCCTTCAAAGTTGGTCTGAATCACAGACAGCATCCCTAACACACAGAGACCAGCCACCAAATGCAGCTGGCCCCAGGAAGTGGGCGCGATCTGGCCAGGCAACCTTCCCAGGTCTTTGAGCCGCTGAAGGGAGGTGGCACTTCCTTCCTGAAAGGGTGCTGGCTGCCCCCTACCCACTGCACCACCCTGCTCGCTCACCAGTGTAAAATAACCCTCAACACTCTCTTGTCTCCTCCCCTTTTCTTTCAGCATCCTTCAAGCTCTTCTGAGGGAAAGAGGATGTGAAGGCAGCAGGCATGCTCATGTGGCTCAGAACTCTCATCAGCCCAGGAATTCTGACCCTGCAGAATTGTGCAGCTCTGTCTTATTCCTGCTGTGATGGGTCTCACATGAGCCATCGTGTTCCCCTAGAGCAGACGTATTTTAGCTCACATGGTTCCCTAGCTCTCAGCTCTCTTACTCACTGAAGCCCTAATTTTCCAAAGAGGCTGAAGCCCAGTGAGTTCTCTGATGCCCCTGGCAGTACTGAGTAGAGATTATCATGGCCTGAACGTAACCTCACCTGAAGGCTCTGCTGAGACACCAGGACCCCTGCAAGGGATTCAGCACTGCTTTCCATGGGACCAAGGTCTGCTCTGTGTCCCTCTATCCCACTGTTTCCCAGCCCTGGGCTCCCACTATGCAGTGGCAGAGTCAGGATCAAGCAGCAGGGGTGATGGATAGTGGGATAGTCTAGAGGACAAGAGGGACAGCAATGGTGTTTCTAAGTGGTTCCGAAAATGTCTGTCCCCTGTCACATACACACAGTGCCTCCAACTCAGGCAATCTCACTGTCTCTTCTAAACTTTGGTTGCCATGTACTTTCTGATAAAATTCAGTTTGCTGCAGATACTTTCAGACTGTTCAATGAGTGACACTTGTTGAATGCCTTATAAATATTATTTCAAGTGCCTTTCTTCCCCCTAAATATGTTTTTTTTTAATTTCAGTCTGGATCAAAAGCATCATCCATCTTCATTAAGCCCAAATCAGAAATTTTAAAATCTACTTTCCAAGTCCACTTCTGATCACCATCTCTGTAAGGTGCCTCATCTCTTTCTCGGTGTCTATCGTAGTCTCCGGTCCGTTCATGTCTCACATAGATTACTGTCTGTGTGTTCTCTACCGCTGTGTGTCAAAACATCCCCAAGCCCTGTGCCATAAACAACAAATAATCATCTCCCGGTTGCTGTGGATCAGGAATCGCGAAGAGGCTCCCTGGGTAATTGTGGCTCAGGGTGTCTCACGAGGTCACAGTCAACATGACAGCTAGGACCTCAGTCATCTGCAGCTGTGGATATGTTCTAAAGACAGGTCATTCTCAGAGCTGCTGCAACAGTAGCTCTTTAAAATAGTGGATACGATGAAGAGTAAGTGCGTTCCAAGAGGTTTCAGGGGACCAAGGTCGGAGGGCACCCCCACCTCTGCATACACCCAACATAGACTTCACAGCTTGGTCAGCAGCTCAACTCATGTTAGTGCAGTGACCTCGGACCAAAGTATTCAATTCCTCTCAGCCTCAGTTTCATCATCTTGAAATGGGATAAATAGTAACACTTTCTTCACGGCAGTATTAAGAAGATTTATTAAACAAATGATTTAAAATTCCAGTGAGCATGTCCAGCTTACATTAAGGGCTTAAAGGTAGATACTACTCTACTGGTTAAGAGTATGGGTAGCCAGTGGACACAGTGGTAACACTTTTGACAGCTAGGTGGTATTTTCTCCCTTTCTGGTTCTCAGCTTCTAGATCTATACTGTCTGATACAGTAACCTCAGGCCACATGTAGCCACTGAATATTCATGAGAGCTCTAGTCCAAAAGGAGGTGTACCATGGGTACAGAGTAACCAAATTTCAAAGATTTAGTACAAATATGTGAGAATATATTATTAACAGAATTCATCCTGATTAATGCTGCAAAGCTATTTACATATATATTAAAATTAAATATATTGTTTTTTAAACATTTTTTAAATTGGCTAAGTTTTTAAAAATTATATGTGGGGCTTGTTTTATACTTGTTTGGGAGAAGTCTTTTAGAAAGAAAGTTACAAAACTATTAAGTGAAAAAATAACAGTACTACTGTATTTTCTTCCTCTGCATAGCATGAGCTCCTCATTCTCCTCCTCCTCCTCCTTTGTGCCCCCACCACACTCCATGTGGATTTTGCCTTCCCAGTTAAAGCCATGCATTTCACACACTTAATCCTCATGCGCCCCCATCCATGATGATGGGTAACAATAACGGGATGCGTGAGTAACATTTCCTCAACTTCAGGCAGTGCTTAAGGAAAACTGGTTGTACAGTAGTCAATAGAAAACAGTTGACCTGGGAGGGGGGCAATTTCTTACCTTTTAAACTCTATATAGTGATGCTTAATATAAAATTGAAGGTAAGAAAGAGAAAAATTGTGTGTGGCAAGTGCCACTGGTCATCAGCTCAAGGTGTGTGCACTCCCCACTTCTTTGCTAATAAAAGTTGCTTGAGGATATGATGTGCCCAGTTAAAATACAACAGGTAGCCACGCGCCAGAGTTTCAACCAGTGAAACCCCGAAGTGTCACGGTGAGTCTTTCCAGAAACCCTTTTCTTGATTTCAAAAAAGAGGGAGGAGATAAATTCAGCAGCAGATAAATTCCATTCTCTCTGCTCTCCCACCACCACCTCCAGCTTTCCTGTCTGGAGTGTGAACACAATACTGCAAATGTGGAAGCAGGACACTGAGACTCTGAGGGTGACAGCACACCTCAGGTGGTCCAGGAGGCCTCAAGGAGCCTGCCTGCTTGGGGACTGTCTTGGTCTGTGTCCCAGACTTGGATGATCTGCTTCCAGACTTGTTACACAAACCACACAGGCACGACTTGTTTTCATTCTTAGGTTTGCTGTTGTACACAGCTAAAAACAATATTAGCTGATACTCACAATCTTCAGAAATCACTGAGATTCACAACCCAGCCCCAAAATTTGTCCTCAGGACATTTTTACTTCCAAGGAAATATTAACCCAGAGTCTCTCATTATCTGACTCATGTGGTGGGAATAAGTGGGAACTATTTGATCTGGGATTTTTTTGATCCAGCACATATAATTGTTATTTTAAAAATATGTATGTGCTGGCTAGCTGTATATCCACACATCTAAGTACCCATCTACACATCTATCTATGCATTTAAATGTATAGATATGAATATATGTTTCCTAGTTAACAGAATTTTGTCCTATTCATCATCTTATTCACAGGCTTTAGCAAAAGGCAATCCCCTTTTAAAACTTCCTCCTCTCCTAGGGATATTCATAAGATATTTTGCCACCACTCAGAGGTTGCATCATGAAAATCATCTTAGCCTAGGTTTCAGGATAGCTGGATCGAATTTCGACTCTGCCAAATAGATGAGTATGTGACACTGAAGCATTCCTTGGAATGAAAACCCATGCAGAAGCGCACTGTGCTTACCACACAGATAAGACTGGAGAGAACACCCAAATCCCTTCCACGGGACCATGAATTAAAAAGTCCCCAGAACTTAGTAGTATTACAAATATAAACTTCTCTTTCATTTTGATCTAATGGAATTCTGACCAGCTAAGAGGCCAAAAATCAGTATACACAGCACCTTTAAAAGTGGCCTGCACTTGGAGAAATTTAACGAAGTGCTTTAGTGTTGACCTAGGACCAGTTATTTGACTATTTTTCCTTATTGATCGAATTAGTATAATGCTGTTAGATATTGTATAAACACACTACAGTGTAAATTGCTAAGAGAAGTATATTTTATGCAATATTTTCCAATTTTGGCCATTAAATTTTCTTACAGTGGCTTAGCTTACTAATATTCCAAAATATATTTCTCCCTCTTTCTCTCTGTCTCCCTCTCTGTCTGTCTGTCTGTCTGTCTCTCTTTTTCCTCTGTGTCTGTCTGTCTCTCTCTGTCTCTTACTTTCTCTCTCTCTCTCTCTCTCTCTCTCTCTCTCTCTCTCTCTCTCTGTCTCTCTCTCTCTTTCTCTCTCTCTCTCTCTGGCATACTCTTGAAAATTGAACTCAAAGCCTCTGCACTGATCCACAGCTGCAACCCTTTACTGTTTCCCACCTAAAACACAGTAACTCTAAGATGTATTAGCCAAGTTTCTTGTTCCTGAAATACAACTCTGAACACCCACAAGTTAGAGGAGTAAGGTTTAGTTTGGCTCACGGTTTGAGGGGATTGAGTCCATGATGGACTAGCTCCAAGTCAGACACAGCATGGCCAAAGTGCAGGGCAAAGAAAAACTGCTGAGTTCATGGTGGCCAGGAACAGAGCAGGGGAGAATGCCAGAGAAGAACAAGTTAGGGAGCATACACAGCATCTAAGGCACACTTCCATGACCTGCCCAGATAGACCCAGGAGCACCTTTATCTAATCTGTAGCCTCTCTTAATCCAGCAAAGTTTGCATACTATATTAATGATCACAGTTACCCAGATTAGGATTCAAATTTTGAGCCTCGTCTCAGCCTCCTAGAACCCTACCATACCTGACCTGGTTTTGCATTTTTAAAAACATAACTGAAATTTTTTAAATTAATTTAAAAAATTTTTAGAAGTATTTATAAAAGCATAATTCATGAAGAAATCTAAAAACTTGCCTTGTGTATTCCCCACCCTCTTCCAACCACCACCAATTTGGCTTAAAAATTCATCATTGTACACAGAACAATGCCTCCTTAGGAAACAAAAAAATGCATGATGCAAAATCAAGGGATAAATCACATCTGCATCTTCAATGAGACATAAAACCAAGATTCAGACCAGGCAAATGCTTAAGGGCTATTTTCTCAGAGGAAAAGATAAAGGAGGAGCAGTAAGAGAGCAAATTAGGGTCCTGGGCCCTCCAGCTCATTCTCCTAACGCCCCTTTGTTTCCTTTTGTGAGCAGGGGTCGTCCTTTCCTTCCTACCATTGCCAAAACCCAGACAAGTCAGCTAGAAGACAGACTGAACCTCCAGGAGCGCACCATAGCATTCCTCCTCGAGCAAGCCTTCCGCATCAAGGAGGACATCTCTGCTTGTCTCCAGGGGGCCCATGGCTTTCGAAAGGAAGAGGCACTTGCCAGGAAGTTGCTAGAAAGCCACATCCAGACCATCACCAACATCGTCAAGAAACTCAGCCAAAACATTGAGGTAGTTCCTGTCCCCAATATGTTGGCATCGTTGCTTGACAAAGATTATCAACTGCCAAAGTCATTTTTCAACTATAGGAATGTGTTGCTATTGTTTAAATTTAAATGATTTTAAGTTAGCTGCTCCCAAAGAAAACAGTTCAGTTTTTGACAAGAAGTAAAAAAAATTCTATTAAAACTATGTATTGTACATCTATCTTGTGACAGCAAAGATAACATTATGTCAGACATTGGGCTAAGGTGCCTGTGTTATTCTAAATCACTATCAGTGCAATGATTTCTTTTTTTTTTTTTTTTTTTTGGTCTTTTTCCTTTTTATCGATACCAGGGATCGAACTCACAACTGCCTGCTTGCAAGGCAGGTGCTTATGCCGCTGAGCTAAATCCCCAGCCCCTAGTGCAATGATTTCAAGAAGAGGCTTTCATAGAGCTTTGACAGTGCTGGTTCAAAAAGGCTCTTCACAATCTGACGCCAGAAATCTCTTTCCCCATCTCCCTCCCTTCAGCTGTGCTGACTTCCCAGCCATCCCTTGCTATTACTCTGATTGGCTCATCTTCCTTTAGCTGCTCCTATGAAATGGCCCTCATTTCCCCAGACTTGTGCTCAAAAACCACCTTATAAGAGAGGATGTCCCTTATAGTCTGTAAAATAATGTTCTTCCTCACCCCAACAGTTTCAATCTCCCTTAAACTCAGTCTTAACCACCGCATTTATCATAATCTATGATAATCTGTGTCTATTGCTTATTTTTCCTTTTCTACAATATACTCTGCATAAGGTAGGGACTTTGGTTCACTACTGAACCCTACACCAGACAACAACTTGAGTGGTATGTAGTCAGTACCTTGCTAGTGTTTCTTGAAATAGATGGTGTTCAAATGAAAATGAAGTTTTTGATCAAAAAAAGAAAATTTGGAGGATATGCGTAGATAAGCACATTTTAAACTATAGTTCTCTAACTTTTTAGAATGTATGTGCATCGTGCATCTCAGATAACAGTTTTCAGCAAATGTTTTAGACCATATATATCAAGAAACTGGCCAAAACTTTGCTCCATGATGAAAATGCACAATAATGCCTTTCCACAATACTTAACCTTCTCTAGTACACTAGATGGATGAAAAATGAAAACAAACAGACCAGAAAAGGTAATTAGCCCAGAAATTACTTGCTCATTAATTTGAGCTTAAAGTCAAGGATATTTCTGGATTAATTTTCTATATGTTCAGGATCTAAAAGACCCCAAAAACACAATTGAGAGAATATAGAAAGTAAAAACCTCTTTCTGAACTTTTAAAAAGGGATTTTATTGGTGTTTGGCATATATTTAAAGTGCCCCAGTGTTTCTCAGGCCCAACAAAATATTATCATGAAGACATTAAGAGGCAGACAGCTCCTTGCCTTTTGAGATGACTAGTAATCAAGCAAATGTAACTCTAGTACTGAAATAAGACTTTGATATATGAGTTAAATCTTCTTGGTAGTCAGAAAGAAAACAATATTCTCATCAAAATGTTTCTGTGAATATTCTGTATTTTGATCTTGGTTGTGGTTACACAATTGATCACATCTGTCAAGATCTTTCCAGAGGTGCCCTTTGATTTGTGCATTGAAATATATATTAGCTATCCTCCTAAAACACTCTTGCTATTAAGGTGGAAAATAGTTCCCATTTCTCTAGTATCTTGCTGAGAGTTACTTATCCTACAATAATAATAGCTCTGAAAAGAGGCAAAGCCCCAAATTTTCCAGAAATGATACCATCTCAAGATATTTGCAATCCTGGTAAGGTTTTGACACAAATAAGAGAAAGAGATACCTAGTCTGATTGCATACAAAATTGCATTGAAAGAAATATGTTAAAGGCTTTAGATAATGTTGTTAAAATTTTATGAAAGAGAAACTATATGGCTAGGTTTAGTAAATAACTAAAATTAAAAGTAATAAGTACTTTTCTAGATGAATGGCTACTATCCAAATATTTTAAAAGAAGCCAGACTTTCAATTCAGTCAGTCCTCTTGCAATTTAGCCAGCAAAATAAATCCAAATGTAAACTGACAGTCGACTTGGGTCCTTAAAAAGAATGAAAACAATTATTTTTAAATGTATCAAAATTGTAGCAGTTAAGTTTCTTGTTCATTTTTAAAAGCAAATTATTTTTAAAGCAGGTAGGTCATTATGTTTTTAAATTAATTTATTTTTAACTCAAAAATGAAAATGTTAGGTACAATATTACTTTCATCATAATTTTTCCCCTAATATATAAAAATAATTGTTCATTGCAATTAGTGTAAGAGTTTGGGGGAAAATTTTAAAACCTGTGAAAAATACCCTCCCAATTCTACCACCAAATGCCAGTATCTGCAAATCCCTGCATGTATTCTCCTCCTCCAGTCCGTGCAAGTATTCCACCGAGGAGGAGGAGACTATTTTTGCGAGCACAATCTTTAGTATAAAATTACAATAAAAGCTCTTTCATATGTCATTAAAAATCCTTGGTGTGGAACATGTACCATAATTTGCTTAATTACTGTCTAATGTTGAAACTTCTTTGTCCATAAATATATGTCCACCTTTGGATTATTTCCATAATATACATGCTTCAAAGTGAAATTACTGGGGTACTAGTGCTGTGAAATTTCTTGGTACATGGTGCCAAAATGACTTCCAGAAAGTTTATATGCTTCATTTACACATCCATTAGCATTATATGAGAGTGCTTCTTTCCACTGGGCCTATGCCAGCACTGAGATTTATTGTTTTAATCTTTTTTAATTTGATAGAATAGAACCAAGATCTTTTTTTCCTTGAAGGTATTGAATTCATTTTTCTAAAGTGACTACGAAAATCTGTATTTCCTCTGCCAATAATCTGCCCATGTCTTTGGCCAATTTATCTTCTGGAGTTTTAGTACTTTTTAATTATTATGAGTTTGATGAGCTCTTTTGTAGATTAAGGATAATAACCTACGGTACATTGACAAATGTCTAATGGTTAGCAATCAAGTTTTTGAGAGGACCTTAGGTGCAGTGTTTGCCCATTTCAGTAGTATAACTAAGCTTCTGCTGAGATTTCAAACTACCAAAACAATAGCCATGAGCTCAAAGCATGGAAAAATTAATGCACTTTAGCTCTTACAGACAAGTACATGTTCATTGCAGGACACCAATGAAATTCTTATCAATATCATTTGTTATTCATGTTTTTCCAGTGTCCTTTTTATATCTTAGTTGTGTTTACAGTGTTTTTCACATGTCCTGGATAAGCATTCAAATAGTTTGCTTCGTAAGTTACATCATTAGGCAAAGATCAGAAAATTCTTCCTATATGAAATAATTTCTATTTTTATGGCTTAATTTGTATGTGTGCATGTGTTCGTGGTCTCAGGAATCAAAGCCAAGGCCTTGACCGTGCTAAGCATGCACCCTGTCATCAAGCCACACCATCAAAGTGTCTGGCTTAATTACAATCTATACTTTCCGTCTTCTTTTCTAAAAAAAATCTATATTGAGATGTGGCATGAGTCAAAGATTGAAATATCTTCTAAGTAACCAGAAAGCATAACACCTTTTATTAGGATTTCCCAACAATTCCCCCTGATTGATTTGTGGGTCTTGTAGTAGGGCATTCCTCGCTTGCAACCTCCCACTGAGGTTTTCTTTACAATATAACATTATGCTACAGGTCATTATTGTGTTACAGTGGGCCAATCTGCAGTACCACTACTACACTGAGTTAGTTACCTTCTTCTAAAAGATGTTTCAGTATGTAGTAGATCAAGTTCCATTTCATCGCTAATCTTTACCAAAAAAAAGAGCACATATATGCAAAGACATGAAACCACGCTATCTCCAGTGTCACTGATATTTACATCTTCAATTAATGCTTCGTTTGCTCTTAGGTTTCTAAGTTGTTAAGTTTAATAATGAGAAAGAATCATGTATGGTCTTTGAAATTCCTGTAACTCAGCTGCTACAAAAAAATCCATTTTCACCTCATAAAATCTGTATACCTACATTTAAGCATAGTTCAGCCCTTTGTTAAATATAACAGCCAAACCTGAGCACTTCCAGACATTACAAATTTGTGTTTTCCAGAGTTCCATACTCACATTTTTCTCAATAAATAAATATTTTTATGTGTCAATACCTCACATTGGAATTTTAAGACAAATATTTTCTATAGATAGGTAGGATATTTAAATTTTTAAGTTAATATTTATAAATAGCTGCAAAAAATTAAAAAACAATATTCTCAGGACCAGCAACCTGGCAGTATAAGAAAATCAACCTTATTTCCAAAATATTGTGAAGATATGACTCAAGGACAGAATTTGAGCACACATGTGTCATGAAATCTCTTGTGTTCTCTAGGAAATCTTTTAAAAAGTCCTTTTGCCCCATATGCATGAAACAGTTTAATTCAGATCAACTTGTGTCCAATCATTATCTTCTTTATGTTTCTGATCCAATCCCTAAAAGACCTTGCCTGATGCCATATTAAAAAAGGTTTTTTTCCCCTCAATTTACCATCAATTGTGAAATAGATTATGCGTGAAAATGTTTTACATCAGTGATAGCCAAATGGCAGCTCATGGCCATGTCAGCATGATAAATATATTCTATTTGGCCTTTGACTGTTTAAAGACTTTTGAATATTTTTACATGGAGAGTATCACATAACTCTAGCATTTGTTGAAAAGCTAGTGCAGTGCCATTCCCACCTGGGCATACCCAACTGAAATCAAGCCATTGCAACCTCCTGGATAAAACAAATCAGATCTCTTTAAGACAGACCTCTTTCACTTGTTTATCTCATCAGCCTAACTATAAAATGCATTCACCTGCTTTAAATGTGTTGCTATCATACATGACAGGAAACCATGTCATGGGGATCTTAACTGTAAATTACAGATCTTGGAAGACCAAATAAGAGCTCGAGATCAGGCGGCCACAGGAACTAATTTTGCAGTGCATGATCTAAGCATCAAACACCTGCAAGGAGTTGGAGACCTTCGGGGAAGAGTAGCCAGGTAAGGACAGGCACAGTCCATGATTAGCCACTGAGTTCTTCTTTCCAAATAAATTTGTATTGTAGAAAGCAAGGTATTGACTTTGTATGAAGCCAAGCTGATGAGATGGTAGTTGAGAAAATGTCCCAAGCAACTTTGAAAGCCTCGTGGGAGCCAAGGGTTACCCAGAACATCCAATTTTGTTCCACCGGCAGTGACCAGATTCTTGCCTTCCCAGCCCACAGCTCCACAAATGCCAATACACATACATAGACACCCCATGACAACCACATATAAAATTCCCAGGTGTGTAAAACATTCAAGGATTGTGGGACTGGACACGTAGCTCATTGGCACAGCACCTGTCGTGAGTTCAATTTCTGGTACCAAAAATATATAAATAATAAAATACTTGAGGATAAGATGCGACAAGACGTGGGCATGGAGGCAGGCTCTTACAACAACCCACCTGAGAAATGGCGAGAGAGCATGCGGAGGCCATGAAGTCCAGGGCCTTGTGTGGCCGTCCCAGGGCCACAGACCTTGAACACACACGGAAGACAGGGCATCTAGAATAACTACTCAGGCTCCTGGCGTGGGACTGAAGAAATGTGAAATGCAGTTTTGCCGAAAAAAGAGAAGAAAATCAGAGGGCAATGTCATATTTGGTTTGCATCATGCTGTTTATGAGAAGCCTGTAAGAAAGGGTCGGAGGTGGCCTGGGATTTTGGTTGGCCGATGACATATAGAGCTATGGCTCTGGGAAAACCTTTGCCATTCTGAAGTCTGGCCTCGTTCCTCTTTAAAATACAATTTAGGAAATAATATTTATGATTCAAAAACTCTCCTCAAAGAACTATCTGACCATCCAGAGACTATCTATGTGTTATTTATATCATGCATAAGTTATACAAATAAAACATGTAAAATTCTAAAGTGTATTAGATATTTGATCACAAAAAGAATTTTGTATCATATCTGTGAGTTACAAAGTGAGATAACAAGGCAAATACAAGTAAACCCACAACTGTGCTTACATGTATTTTTGCAAGAAGAGATTTTGAATCAAATATGATTTGGCTCGATTTGGTGGTGTGCTGCTGACACTCTCACGGTCTCTCCCTAAGCCACTCATACAGCTGTTATCTTTTTCTTGTAAATCCTGTTTTGCACGCAAGACAAAAGAACAAGTGGATTTCAGATAAGAAGCTCATGGGCTTATACACAACACTTTCTGCTCTGTTCTGTTTGTGTGTGTGTGTGTGTGTGTGTGTGTGTGATGCTAGGAACAAAGCTCACAGCCTTGGATACAGTAAACACATGCTTTAACATTGAGTTACATGTCCCAGACCATATCTTTCATTCATTCACTCACTCATTCATTCATTTATGGAAACAGAGTCTTGCTTTATGGCCATGTTGGCCTGGGACTTCCTGGGTTCCAGCAGTCCTCCTGCCTCAGCCTCATTCATAGCCTCTGCCGGCATGGGCCACTGCATGTGGCTAGCTCCAGGTTCTTACATAACCTTCGTCTTTAGACTTAAGCAGTGATTCTGGGACAAGGTCTTATTTTCCCTTGAAGTGTCCCGCCTCTTATACGGAAAATTTCTGAGACCTATTTGGTAATCTGAGACAGAATCCGGCTAAAAGCCATGAGAGGTAAAGTCACCCTCTCCCATTTCTTTTCTGTGTTTTTGCCAAGCAAATGACTAATGGACAAGCTAAGGTATATCGATTACTGGCTTTGCACATCCGGTGACTTTAATTCTAATTAGAATTTTGGCATGAGTGACATCAGATCGAGTATTTTAACATAATCCCTAGCAAACACTTTAGTCTTCATTAACCAGGCTCAATATTTAACAATTACAATGTTCTTTGAATTTTTACACCTTATTTTCTACCTTACTCTAGTGGTAGTTCAAAAAGCAAACACTTCCAATGAACGGAAGCTCTCACCACTGTCCAGCCTACCTTTCACTCCCTTCTCCATTTGATAGATTTGTTCTCAAGTGCAGAAAAGGGAGAAGCAGCGGAGGCCAAGCACACCATACAGGTGGTTATATCATAACAGTCTGTAGCAGCAGCGAGGGGAGGTCAAGCAGCAGGACAGGTCTGACTCTGGGACCAAGGCAAACCTGCGTTTTAAAAAACAGTAAGTTGTGTTCAAAGTAACGATCATGCCCTTTGAAGAAATCTGATGTTCTGGAAATTAGCAATTTTTGAAAAGTTAAGAGGGGATGCTTCTGGATAGAGAGCAGGACGAAGACATTTTCCATCACTTGAGACATCTCAATGCCAGTGGAAAATCAAAGAAGGAAAGAGAAAAGTCCATCTTTAACATGAAACACATTTGCCACAACTGCTGACTGCCACAAAGCTGTGTGCACTAACTGAACCCTGGGACATTCAGAGAAATGAGTCTTTCTCAGACCTTAAACATAATCACTTCCTGCAAACCAAGAGTTGCAATATCTAAAGCCTCAGGCAAAATAATCATAATAAAGCACTATTTTTAGGGTCTCCAGTGGGCTGCAGGAGACGTGGGAAACAATGCTTCAGAGTCCAGTTGACAGCACAGAACAGCCAGAGAGGAGCAGCTGGAGATCCAGAGTTCCCTTTATCATTTCCTTTATCCTGAACCTTCCTCCTTGCCGGGCCATAGCTGAGAGAAACTGGCTGGAGCAGAACAGGCCAAGGAAGAGAAGGCCAGGGTGTCACAAAAGAGAAGCTGTGGCTTAAGATTTGCTGTGAGATACCCAGTGCATTTCTTAAGGGGGCAATCAGGAGCAGTTCCTTAACCCCAGACTTAAGGAAATATGCTTGATATTGAAAGCTTCCTTGGAGAATAGTAGCTAACCTGCATCAAACACACTCACTGATCTGCAGAAGCTAGAAACGTTATAATCTGTCAAGAGATCACATCTAACCATGCACAACAATCACCTCTGCTGTCGTCTTAAGATAGACAGATATGAAATGGATGGATGGATGGATGGGTGGATGATTAATACATAAGCTAAAGACTGACAATGTGTTTCATGACAGGAAATGCCCAGAAGAGTAAAACTTCACACCAAAAACCTCCTGATTTCAAAGAAATTAAGAGAAAAGGAAAGAGGTGAAAAACTACTTCATGAATAGTCATGTATAATTTGGCCCCTTCCAAAAACTGTACTAATCTACTGTGACTTTTTAAAATGTAAACCCCAAGGATCAAAGGTATCAGCATAATAGTCTTGGAACACAGAACACAGATGGACATGTGGCAACTGCCTTAGCAGATGTAATAAAGACAATTTTAAAGTGATGGGGTGAGGTGGGAACATTTGGGTTTTACACACAGAATTCCCAGAAGTTTTCCATCACTCGTCTCCAAGGAGAGGAGCTGAGACAAGCCAGGAGAGGCAGAGCCAGCAGCCACGGCAGTGCAGAGGACACGTGGCAAGACCTTGAGTAAGGCCTGGAGTCTCAGATAGAACATATTGTACATCAGACATATTGTACTTTTTCCTGTACACACATATCTGTCGTAAAGTTTAATTCATACATTAGCACAGGAAGAGATTAACGACAACAGTTCATAATAAAATAAAAATTATAACAACATAATATAATAAAAGTTATGTGAATACTGTCCCAATATCTTATTATACTGTACTCATCCTTTCCATTTAATGTTTTCAAACCAAGATTGATCACCAGAAAACAAACTGCAGACTGAAAAATTGAATAAGGCCACACTACTAGTGTGCTATGAGCCTCTTAGTTATTGATGATGCGAACCATAGTCGTGTCTTGCTTTGAAAATATATAAATTAATTTCAAAAATAAGATTCAAGAGGTTCATTCCTAAAAATTTAAATAACAAAAAATATAGATAAATTGGAATTTCTCAGGGACAAAAGAAAAATTTTAAATGTTACAGAGGTTAAATATACTACAGATCTTAAATATAACTAAAAATACCAAGTTATAAAAACAAAAGGCACAAGGAAACCACCCCAAGAGAAAAGAAAGTGTTTTTTAATATGACACTGGTTGTAGGAAAATGTTGTACATGACATTAATACATGTCATGACTTAATACAAAGACCTGAATAAGAAACAATGAATTCTTCAGAAAAAAATACTCATGGCTATTAGAGAAGAATGTTGTATTGAAGCAGATACTTGAATCTCTGGGTCATAAGATAAAACTCTAGAAAAAATGATATAAGAACAACTAACTACACCAGGATATCCTGGTGGCATTACTGAACATCAAGGATAAAGAATCATTGGGCCTGCAGGTAGACAAAGCAAATCATATAAAATAACAGTAAAACTCTAGTTATCTGAGATTTATCTACTTTACCCAATCACAGAAAGGAATGAGGTCAAGTGGATCATGCTCATAATGGCAGTAAAAATGTAATTGTCTTAGTCACTTTTCTCATCACTGAGACAAACATCTGCAACTTAGGAGAGGTTTCTTTTGGCTTGCGTTTTGAACGTTTCAGGCTTCACATGGTTGATGGTACAGTGGCAGGGCTGGGCAGAGGGAAGCAGCTCGGATCATCACAGCCATGAAGTACAGAAAAAGCCAGGAGCAGAGAAAAAGAGAAACCCTTTTCAGCCACGCTCCCAGAGACCGCCTCATCCTGCTGGCATCACATTTAGCTACAGCGCCCCCATGATGCAATCACTTTTCAAAATCCCTGTGTATGAGTTCCTGAGGCTCAGAGGGGACATCTAGATATAAATCATAACAATGATCTTCACCAAGATACCTCTGAATATAAGGCCAGTTGAGCATTCTTAAGAACTTAAAGATTCTAACACTCCTGAGCTCTTCTTTCAAAATCTGGATGGAAAACTCTAGCCAATCAAGAAATGAGCCAAAATGAAGGCTCTCAGGAGGAAAAAAAAAATCACAGTTTAAAGGACCATGAAGGAACATAAGCTACAGATATAGAACTGAGACTCAGTAACTATAAGAGATTTTGTTATAGAACACAATGCAAATGTCTCTTCATTTTGACATTTAAAAATTAGTAACCAAAACTATTGAAAGAATAAGTATTAAAATGTATTTATTTCCTCGTTTTTTGGCACATGGTCAACAGATGCTTTCTAAAGCTGAGGCAGTAGTTATAAAAATATAACAATTCCAATCTATGATAGCTTTTTATAACTTCATTTTTTAGAAACAGATTTCTCACAGTGAAGAGATAGATATAGTCAGCCCTCCACATATTTGGCTTCTGTATCCATAGATTCAAGCAACCTTGGATGGAGACTCTTTTCTGCATCATTCCTTCCTAAACAATGTAACTATTTACATAACTTTAACATTCTGCTAGCTTCTCAAGTAATCTAGCAGTGATTTAAATTATACAAGAGGATGTGCATGGGTTATACACTAATACTCTTCCATTTTATATAAGGGATTTAAGCCTCCGAGGATTTGAGTATCTGTAGGGGGAGAAGGTGATAAATTTCCCTAAAACCATTCTCCTATGGATACCAAGGGAGAGTTGTACATTAATAAATATACACGTGTGGCTGGGGATTTAGCTCAGCGGCATAAGCGCCTGCCTTGCAAGCAGGCAGTCGTGAGTTCGATCCCTGGTACCAGTAAAAAGGAAAAAGACAAAAAAAAAAAAAAAAAATATACACATGTGTATTTGTGTGTGGAGTGTGTATTTTGATCAGAATGATAACCAAATATTAACTATATTTTTCGTGAGAGAGAGGATCTGGGAGGATGTTAACTCTTTTCTTTCTTGTTCCTTCTTTTCTCTCTCTCTTGTCGTGTGTCTCTTGTGTGCACGTTTTCTCTCTCTCCCCCCCACACACGCTTTCTTTCTTTTGATACTGGGAATCAAACTCAGTATCAAAAGAATCGAACTCAGAACCTCCTGCTTGCCAGATTCCTTTTTCTATATTTTTTTGTAGATTTTTGTAAACATTTTTTAAATGGACATATAGTATTTTAATAGAAACAAAATCGTCCTTCAAAAGAAGGCAGAGAACTTCCTTTTCAAATACAGTGTCATATTCAAAAACTGCTGCTCGATCTTTGCCAGCATCATGTAAGGGGTTTGGCTGGGTGACAGCAGGCTGGAGGGATGAACGCTGGTAACTCTCAAGCTGAGTAAATAAGCAGCAGGTCCTCATCCAGTGCGACTGCTCCCTCTGTGCAGGCACTGACTCAATGCTTTGCATTCCTTGCCTCTTTCCAACTTGAAACAGCTTTATGAAGCTGGTGGTGACCAAACCGTGCAGCTGTGCAGTGACTTCAGTATCTTTATCCCTTTTGGTTCAGATAAAGAAAACAGAAACTCGTAGGAGTTAAGGAAATTATCCCAGACCAGAAGCCTAAGGTGCAGCAGAGACAGGTCTCAAAGCCTGGTGTACGTGACTCCAGAGGCCGGGTTCTGAACCAGTGCCTGCCCTGCACTGACCAGCAGGCTCTCGGGATAGAAGGAGGTGACGGGACACAGTGGTCTCAACCTCCTCTCCTGAATCCTTTGGGAGTCTTCAAAATGGACATAAGGACAATTCAACCAGTTGACACAGGAGTGTGGTTCCGATAATGGCAATTTCTACACCCAGATGTGTAGAATGACTTCCAGCCATGACTTGTGTGCACGGCATCTCGCGCTCACGCTTAATCAGGTCGACTGCTTTTTTTCTCCCAATGGCCCCCCACCCCACCCCAGTTACCTGGTAAGCCTGCAAGGGCATCTCAGGGCAAAGTTACCAGCTCCACTTACCTTTGATTCAACATTTTGGCACCAAAAATCTCAAGTGAAAAACTTCGATCTGGGTCCCAAAAAACACTGATAGTCATAAAACCAACAAGACCTACAGCACTTAGCATGACAACATGAAAAATATTACTTGATGACAGTCCAAGAGGTTATTTTACAAAATGACAATTATCGTGACAGCTCCATTATGCAAAGGCATATCCCACAGTGTGTTGTCTTTTATGCACATTTTTGTGTATGCACCTTTTATGCACATATTTACATTTCTTGTAACTGATCATTCATGCCACAATCTACTGATTCCTTAAAAAGGCCCTGGGAAATGGCAGAGGGGTGGGCCTCTGTGTATTTTTCCTCCCTGATGTGCTGGGAAACTGGGTAATCTTCAGTTCAGCTCCATCTTACCAGAGTTCCTTCCATAAAATGTCAAATGCTACCCGAAAGCCAAAGTTTCATTCATATGTGAGTGTAAATTGTTTTTGCCTAAGGTAAGACAATACACGACTGAGATCACTTGAGGAACAGGGTCTTATTATGGATTGGAAGATTTTGTTTGGGTGGGACAACTTTTCTAAAGGATGATTGGCAGTCTGGGGGTCAAGGAAGAAAAATGGATTCACAACATAATATAGAAAAGGAAAAATCAATTTTTCCTAGCCACAGGAAGTAGGATGTATTCTCAAGACATCAAAATCTGCTAATGCTTTTATAACTGAGTTCATATAATGCCCAATATGTAAAAAAATTTCCCCCAGTGTACCCCAATATCCTCATGTCTATCAACTTGGTTCTCTGGTTCGGGTCAATGTATCCAGCCTGGTTTCTCTCATCGTTAATAGAAAAAACATGAAGCAAGAGATTCCTCTATGTTGTCCTACACCTACAAACACATTATTCAAAGATAAGAACTTTTGCCATACAATGAAAGAATGTAGGACCCCGCTATGGTATTTAAGAAATGTTATGAGCCTAGGGTCTCACACAGATTTCCCTCTCGGCACTAGATGTGATTCGAGTATCATGAAGCTTTCTGGAGACATCCACATCATCAAGCAGGAGCACCGGCAAGCCGAGAAAGCAATTCAAGAGCTTGCATCTGCCATAGAAATGGTTTCCAAAAGCTTGGATATAAAGGTAACTGAAAATAGATGGACGCTTACATGTTATTGCCAGAAGCAAGATCAGCATACTTACTCAAAGTCCAGTCAGGTGGTCATTTTTTTAAAAAAAAAAAATACCTCCCTTCTACAGGCCTTTAATAAGACAGAGCATTCCGGTACACCACTGGAACACTCAGCTCGGTATTTAAACAACACTCCCATATCCCAGGCCAGCTGCCTTTTGTAAGCTCCTTGTATATAACCACTCCCCTGGATTCCTGACCCGCTGACTGCTCAACTCCCTGTGGAACCAGGGATTACAAGAAAAGGAATTTCCCATGAGCACTATTATTATTAAAGATCCAGCATTTATCCAAGTTGACCATGGTCTATCCCTATTTAAACCCTGCAATGGTTCTCTCTCTTACAAAAACATGGAAGTCCTTTGGCCTGGACTTTTAAAGTCCATCTCTTCACTGGTGCCTGCTGACTGCCTGTGCTTTTTAACCCATTGTTTATACCCAGTGACACTGACCTAGCCATAAATACTTACCTGGGGATAAATTTGACTGTACCTTTTGATAGGCAGTATTTTCATTTTCACCTTCTAAGTATACTGTAATTACAGTTAGGATTCACTCTTTGATACTCATTTTAGTCTAGATTCTTCAGAAACAAATGCCATGAAAGTAGGTGAATGAGCGATTTCCCGAGGCAAAAATCTGTGAGGAGAAAGGGAAAGGGGTGGGTGAGACAGAGGCCCTGCAGACCGTGCCACAGGTGAGTCTGATTCCTGCAAACATGGCAGGAGAGGGAGGCTTGAGCTGTTATGCCAGAGAGCGCTGATCAAGCTCTTGAGTGGACTCGAGCTGTGAGGTCCTGGCTGGAGACCCATGGGAAGAAACCGGGACCAGGCAGGGATGCTTCTGAGCATGGCATTCAGGCCCTTGGCCAGGTCTGCCCATTGCAGTAGACACCAGATGCTTGTTTTCCAGCGAAACCCTAGAAACTAGAAAAAATGCTTTCTTTTGCCTCAAGTGCTTGAAATTTTTGTTCCTTTATACGCACTTTGCTTATTATTTTCTCCTTTCATGTGGTAACGGTCACGGCCTATGCTTTTCCTGCTCTGGGTGATTGTTCGAGATTTTTTATAGTCGTGTGGGCTCAGTTGTTGCAGATGTTCTGGGAAAGAATGAGTGCTGGATGCTTGTAAATTAATAAGTGCTGGATGCTTGTAAATTAACAGATTCAGTAAAGAAATCCATTAAATAAAATTCATATTTTCATGTTTTCCTACATCTTTATTTCTATTTTACTTACTTGACTACTAAGAAGAAAAGTCATTTAAATTAGTAAAATATTTTCTGTGCTTGTTTATCCTAAAAGGCTGCTGCTCTTCATGTTCATAAGGCTCAAGGTTCTTTATTTTCCACTGTGAGTTTTGCTGTTCATCTATAAAAACTGTCATTTTTATTCTAGTCCCTAGTATGTTTTGTCATGAATAACATTTTCTCTAACATTAACATTGCTCTGCCTGCTTTCTTTGCCTTTGCCAGGTGTAGAGGCAAAGGCTGAATGCTAATTATTTTGTCCGACATTTCTGCTTTCCCCTGTGTCAAGTACCTCCTGCAGCTCACCATTCAGGAGCTATTAACTGCTCACTCGGTATCTATTCAAACCTTTCTATTATTCACCTGCTCCTTATTTAGGGGACTCTGATTGCATTAAATGCCCACTTTCTTTCATGTGATCATCTGGTTCAAGAATGGTTTTGTTTGGCTAAAACCAATCGTGTTGTTTTATTGTCCTTGACAGCAGTTAGACAAAATTATACGCTGCAGTTTTGCATCTATATTTTAATCCAGTTCTGTATCTAATGAAACTTCTCCAATGTGGCTAGCAATGCCGAAGGCATACTCTTACTTGTTAATCCACGACTGAAACTGTCTTTATTATTCATTTGCAATTCATTTGTAGTCCTGTCAGAATGCTCTCTTGAAATGGCTAAAACCAAATCATAAGGCTAGTCAGAGCCTAATTGTGCATTTAAATGTTTATTTCTTAAGTTGTTGTTGAGCATTTATCGTTAGTAACCTAATATTCATGAAGGACATACAAGTGAAAGGATATAATGGCTTACTTTTGTAACTGGGGAGGCAGAAAGCAAGAAATAAATCAATAAGCAAACTAAAGGCATTTGTCTTTTTTGTTATGTTGTCATGTAGCCTATTATCTAAAAGAATATTGCATTCTTATCTAAAAAGAATATTACACTATTTCCTGGGAAATAGCAACTATAACTGTGAATCCTACTCATCTGAAGAAATCACTATCCAAAGCAAACACACTTTCGAGTCCATTGCCAGGTCCTTTAGGAATAAAGTGTAACTGATGTACTTGCTGGTGGTTTTGCTCACACACAAAAAAAGCTCCTTGTTATACTTTCCTTAGGTAACACAGCTCTCGGGAAAGATGGAGGCTTCCATCTTTGAGCAAACCTCAAATTTAAAGATGGTCCAGGGAGATTTTCGCCAAGAAATGAATCTTTTGGAATTCAAGTAAGTGCATGTAAGAGTTTTCATTGTGTTAAGTATACCCCTGAGACTTTTCCCTAATGAAAACGTTAGCATTAACTAAAAACCTACCCCAGGAATCTGAACCTGGCTAAGCAATAAAGTAGCAAACTGATACAGAGACTATTCTATGCTAGTATAAATCATATAATATTCATAAAAGAATATAAATATTAATTTCATCTCTTGCTTTGGTGGCATACTATCTCAACTCAATTGTCATACACATGCTGACCATATAAATTTACTACCAATTTTATATTAAAATGCCTCAGTTAAAAGCACCACTGAAATTAAACTTATTCCACAAGATTATTGAATATGTTTTAGAGCAATTTTGATTTATGGGCTTTTCCTTGAAGATTTCCTCTAAAATTCTCTCCTCACTCCTTTACATCATGTCTTTTTAAAAACTGGTCCTTATCCCATCTTAGACTGAATTTTTCTTTATTCCACGGAGTAAATGAGATAAATCTCCCCAGTGTTCAAATTATTGCCCCTCCCTTTTCTCAGATCCCTCTTGTTTATACAAATGACCACCAAGCCCTGTGACTGTGTCTAGCCCCTTGGGTGCTGCTACCTTACTGCCCTGGGGCCTGCCTTTTTTTCTTCTGTGTTCTGTACCATTTGGGTTTAATGCCTTGGTTAAGTTCGGGGTTCTGATAATCTGATTTCTCCATTTTCCCTATTTCTACTGCATTTACTAAATCCAAGCCACTGATGATAAGATGCATTGCTATGTTTGTATATGTGTAACACAGGAAGCCAACAAAGCATAGCATGCTATCATTTTAACACCTCTTTTGGACACAATAAAATAGAAAAATGTGTGTTTTCTAAAAATTGGTAAAAAAACAAAACAAAACAAAAACAAAAACATAGTGATCACTAAAACTTCAAGAAGTGGCTGTCTTGGGGAACCAGAAAAGATCTACCACCTTCATGCCCTGAGAAAGCTTTTTTTCCTGGATCCTTAATTCTAGAACGGTGAGCATACTCAGTGTATGCCCGTGTGGTGCTTTATCTCATCTTTTTAGTTAAGAATTAAGACAAAGAAATATAATGAAAGTAGTAAAGTAAACTGTTCCTAAGCACAGTTTAAGAATTCATTTCATTGAGAAGAGATGAGATTTAGAATCCAGAATGAGACTAAATTAAAAAGACAAATAGAGCAGATGGAAACAGGAAATATTTTGAGATCTAGGGCTGACCATCTTATTGATACTTGTTTTTTCAGTCTTTAGTATTATGGGAAACTGGCTTATAGATGAATCAGTCATCAACACAGAAATCTAGACATTTCTGTAGTAGTACAACCTAGTTTTTTGTTTTTTTTTTTTTTCATTTTAAGTGTGAAATCTTAAAATTTCAATAATACTACAGTAATAACAGTGAATATATACACAATATTTTCTTTAGACAAATAATTATGGGCACAATAATTGATCTCATTACAAAATTGACTCCTTAAATTTTCTCTGGTTTTTTAAAGTAATGTGTACTTACTGTAACAAAATAACAAAAATGGATTTAAAAGATCACCATATCAACTTTCTAATGTAACCAATGCTAACAGCATAAATGCATTTTTCAATGCTTTCTTCATGTTAGTGAGAATATATAATAATAAGGATATGTGCATATATACACTGAAGAAACAGGTTTTAAAAATAAATCATACATGTTACCCAGTAATTTGATTTTATTTCCCCATTTTATCCTGCATATTTTTCAAACTAATTGAATATTAGCCTAGCATTATTTTTCAAAGCTTTGTAATATTGCTATGTACACACATCATAATTCCATTCATCTTAACGTTGAATAGCTTATTTTCAGCTTATGACCACCACAATCAAAGACTTATTGTGTTTATCCTTAGATTCCAGTGCCCTTATTTCTATGGGCAAAATTCTAGATCAAAGGGCATATGTATTTTGCTGGGTTTCTGGTAAACTTCTTTCTCAAAAAGTTATAATCACGTAATGTACATAGAGGGCTTTCCGTACATTCTTACTGACACCAAATGTACTCTCTTTGATATTTGCCAATTAAAGAATGAAAAATTGCTTGTGTTTTAATTTGCTTTCTTTTCACTATTTGACTTTCCTTTTCCAGGAATCACCTGTTCTTATTACTTGTCAAGCTTTGTACTGGGATTTTAAAAATCATATTTTACCAGTTTGTAGGATTCCTTCACAGTAGAGACACTAATCCTTTGGCTAAAGTGTGGATTGTGAACATTATTTTGTACAAAAGGAAAAGCTCTGTAAAACAGAACATTTCCATTTTAAGCTGGTATATGAGACTTCAGCTTTTAATAATGTCTTTGAATAAGTAATTTCACAATGTTAAAAATGTATGTAATATGCTCAGTTCGGTAGCACATACACTAAAAAATGTACGTAAGTCACTGTTACTATAAGAATTTTGAGGTATGTATAAACTTAAAATTCAGATGGATTTGCACTTCTTCTAAAATTAATGCTGTCTCTGAACAAAGAAAGTAACTTCAACATAAGCATTTTAGTGACATTAAAGGTTAAGCTTAAATAACTGAGTTTTCCTTTTAGAAACTTTGACAAACACAAGTTTAGTAGTCAACTAAGCTTCTATTATATATTGAATTTAGATGTCCTAGACCATATTGTCTTGATTTTCTAGGGTTTTCTGATGAATTCCTAGAACTTTGGCCTCAATTACTGGATAAGACAAAGTAGATTGCACTGGAGCGGTCTGTGAAGCCTCGCCCTCCTCCCAGAAGTGTCTTAGGTGTTCCGCAAAACAGTGGCCTAAGCCAACAACTTAACGCTTACATAGCAACAGTCTTGGCTATCGTGAAATTTAAAAAGGCATCTTTTAATAAGAGTTTGGCAAAAGCAGTATCTGCCAGTCACTCCCAAAACAGCTCTTAATAACAGTTTATTTAAAGAAAAGAAAGAAAGAGAGAGAGAAAGAGACAGAGAGAGAAAGAAAGAAAGAGAGAGAGAGAAAGAAAGAAAGAAAGAAAGAAAGAAAGAAAGAAAGAAAGAAAGAAAGAGAGAGAGAGACAGAGAGAGAGAAAGAAAGAAAGAAAGAAAGAAAGAAAGAAAGAAAGAAAGAAAGAAAGAAAGAACGTTTTGTCATGAAGCAAATGCATGGACAAATCTTATCATGCAGCTTTGAAAATGTTACCACAGCAGGAAGTTAAGGACTATGTAAGGCTGGACTTCGCCTCATTCATATTTGTATCCTTAAATAGAAGCTGATGTAGTGAATTAGTGAATTTTTGAGCGCCTACAAGATATAAGTTTTGTTTTGGAATGGCCCAAGACATGATCCCAGGCACATACAGTTGAGAAGAAAATATAAATAAGTGAAAATCAAAGCACAAGCAAAGTCAAAATAAAGGCAGTGTTAACTGAGATATGTCCATAGGCAGAATTGATGTAATTGCCACTTCCAAATGCCGCACCCAAATCCTCATGTGTTCACTGTGCACTGCCCTAAGGCTCTTATCCCCATTTTAAAGGTGAGGACATTTATAATCACTGATGTTAAGGAATTTACCCTATTCACACAACTAGAAAGTATCTGACTCCAAAACTAGTTTTTATTGGTCCACGATACCTCCACTATAAGATCCAATCTAGTAATAAATTGTGCTATAGAAATTTAGGGACAGAAAAGATTATATTTGCCTGGGTGAATAGGAAATGGGCTATGATGGTATTGGGATTTAAGTTCCAGTACAACTTGGAATGAACAAGAAAGAAGTCTTCCTATAAGAGTGGAGTTAGAACTCCTTTGTAACTGAGAAATCAGAGAACATTAATAAGAAATTAGTATGAGGGCTCTACCTAAGGCATAAACTTAATTAAAAACAGTATTTCTTAATTTCTTGCTACTGATAGCAAGCTTAAAATCTTATAGACTGAATCACCAAAGATAGTAAATGATCTATCTTAAGCACTGTTTCAAATGTAATTACAAAAGAATGAAAATATCATGTGTTCCTCAGTTAATTAGAGGCCACTAGTTAATTTTTACATTCACTTTTCAAAGCCACTCTCTAAACTCCTACGAGCCTGTTAGCAGTAACAGTGCCAAGAAGATTGTTGAAAGAGGTGTGGGGACGTCGGAAATGCTTAGAATGGAGCCAGGTCCTCACTGTGTGTCACTGACAGCTGAGGGGTTCGCTCTGCCTTCCCCGTTAGCCCTCTCTCCAGTCTCTGTCCTGGTATATGCTGAGCCTGTAGTTCCCAATTCATTTTCCTCTTGGTAACTCCCTTCCTTAAAATTGCCCTCAGTGTGGATTTGAGCCCGATTCTGTCAATATCAAAATTTTTTTTAAAAAATCAGTAGCCTATGTTACCCTATGGGATCTCTGGCCATCATTGTGTTTTGGGAAAACTGGAAGAAAAAGCCATGCGTTTCATAGAAATGCTCCTCCTCTCAGTGGTTTAGAGATTTGACAACTGAATTCTGTCATTTAAGACAAACTCATCCTGTTTTAACTGCAAATTCTACAACTAATAGGGCAAGTCATGTCTAGTTTGCTAGAAAAACTATCTAAACAAAGAAAACACTTATATAAATCATTATTTTTTTACCTTTCTAGGAAAACGCTTTTTGAAATTCTTTCATATTTTAATAAATTACCAACAGAGAGTCTGACTGCTGATTTTTTACAGGGAAGTTGGCCTCTAATGACAGCCCAACCTTGTAATAAAAGGCTCATAAATAGTAATTCATTCTTATGGTATTATTTTAATTTTAGAGTTTCAATCACTGGTTCGCCTTTTCAGAGATGTTAATCAGATATATTTTGGGCTGGGGATTTAGCTCAGTAGCTTAGGCACTTACCTGGTAAGTGAAGGTCATGAGTTCAATCCTTGGTACCAACAAAACAAAACAAAAAAAGTAGATATATTTAGAGGCTCCTTGGTTTTGGGAGGGATGTTGCTACTGTTTAAGTAACAAGACAGTAAATATTTGACATTTTTCACCTAGTGAAAGGGAATGCCTAAGGCTAGATTGTCAACTGTAGGGCTATCTTGTGGTCATCTGGGGACTTTCTCTCTCCCCCTTCGCCATCAGTATTAATTAAAACTTCCATGAGATATGGAAGAAGGAAGAGGAAATCAAAGCAGAGCATGTGTCTAAGTGGCTTGACGAGCTTACGTTATATTTTAAACTATCCTAATAAAAGATACTTGAAGAGAAAGAGTGACCTATTCATTGCTTTAATTAATACTTTTCAATGGGGAACTTACTGTAGTACGGCAATGAACAAAGAAAAAGCCTGATTTCATAGAGCTTAAATGGTAGTGGAAGAGACAGCATACAACTTAGCACATGTCAGAGGATGGTGAGCACTTTGAAGAAAAATAAAATAAGGGAAGAAGGGAGTCACGTGAGGAGAAAGTGTCCTTTTCAGGGTAGACAGAAAGAGATCTCTGTGCTCGGTAGTGCTTGAGCGTAAATACTGAATGAAATGAGGGCAGCAGGCCATGGCTGTCCTGCAGAAGGGCGCTCAGGACAGAAGAAACAGTGGGCTCCGGTGAGGCGGCTCCCCAGCAGCTGGAGGCTCCCACAGACCCAGCTGCTGTTAACAGGTGCACAGGTGGGAGTCAAGACCGGAGTAAGAACAACGGAAATGGGAACCAACTTTTCTTCAGTGTTGGCGCACCTGCCTCAATCGAAATATGCTTGCTATGCCGTAAATATTCCTTTTGTCCAAAATAATGGGAGGATTCAGAGGGAATGAACACTGGAATTCAGCTGATCTTCCAATATGTAACTATTGAAAGACAAAATGACTTTCCCCAGTCTTTGCTTTCATCATCTAAATCAGGGTTTCTCCACTTCAGCACTATTGATCTTAGGGCTGGATTTAAAAAATGGTATTGGAGAGCTCGTTTCAGCAGCATCTATGCTAAAAATTATATTGGAGCCAGCATGGTGGTGCACACCTGTAATCCCAGCACTTGAAAGACTAAGACAGGAGGATTGCCTCAATTTTGAGGTCAGCCATAACTACATAAAGACTGTGTCTCATAAAATAAAATAAAATAAAATAAAATAAAATAAAATAAAATAAAATAAAATAAAATAAAATAAAATAAAATAAATAAAGTATCACTAATTTACTGAGGCTGGGCTCAGCCCATGAGCCTCCTGCCTCAGCCTTTCATTTGGTGGGATAACAGTTGTATGCCATCACATCAGGCTGTAGCTGGACAATTGCTCCTTGTGGAGCTGTGCTTTGCATTGGGATGTCTAGAAACATCCCTGCTATCTTCCCGCTAGAAGCCAGGAGCATGTTCCAAAATAATCCAGGCTTTCTCCACACATTACCAGATGTCTTCAGGAAGGAGAAAAATTGCCCCCAGTCGAAATAAAAATGGAAACAATTGTATGATACTTGTCTTATTACAAGACCAAACACTTTTTCAGGAAAGGCAGGTACATGCAATATACATCCACCCTGTCTCCAGCCACTCCCAGTGATAAATAGCACTGACTAGAGTCTCTGTGTGTATTTTTACCTAATAATGTTGGAACAATTATTACTTTAATTGTAAATGCAACCCATTGGAATGCAATGTGAATATTTTCAATAACAAATGTGCATTTCATCTGCTAATCTGAAGCATGGGTCTCCACCCTGTATCTCTCAGTCACTTGAGATCCAGATTTCCCTTTCTGCCCTCGGCCACTCCACAGTGACTTTTTAGATGATGTACATTCCCTTTCATAACTAGAGTACCCTCTCCCCTTTTTACAAATCCTTCATTCTCTGTTTTTTTTTGCTCATGTGGTTCATCATCTTGAAGCCAGCAGCCCCCTCTGTCACCTCCATTAGTTCTATTTTTTTGCTCCACGGGAGTAATTCAGCATATCTCTTAGGACTTCAAACCCAACAACTCCAAGATCCATTGGTGTGACAGGGACCTAACTAACTAAAAATTTCTCCTGAGACAGTGACAACCTTAAGTCCCCTAGGACAGGGCATTCCCACAGCCCCTCAAAGATGCCCTACCCTCCCCACTGCCTCTGTACCCCAGTCCTTCTCCCAGCCTCATACTGGCATCTGCAGGGCAGGGGTCTGCACACTTCCACCCAAAGCCAAGTCTGCTGTGGCTGTGAGTGTATTCACACTTTTGAATAACCTTTTTTAAAGAGCTAGGTTGCCCAACATGTAAGTGTTATCTGAAATGTAAAGCTCCGTGTATACATAGTGATCAGAATGCAGCCACATTTGTCTGCACATCTGTCTGCAACTGCTCTCTGCCACAATGGGATGTTGAGAGGGTCCCACAAAGACCAAAAGCTCCACAAAGCCTGATGCATTGACAAGCTGGCCTTTTACAGAAAGCAATTTGGTAGTCCCTACCATAGAGTAATATACCTCACTCCTCATGACCGAGCTTAGTTTCTCCTCCACACACAAGGAGCCCTGCAACTCGAGGGGAATTCTGCATGCACGGCACATTCCTTGATGTCTGTGCTAGCTGCAAGCCGGCCATGTAGCTGTCACTGTGTGTGTAGGTATTTTAGGGTACACACAGAAGTATGGGTAGCAGCTGGCCTGAGCTTGTGCCTAGGACAGAGCCTGGGGTCATTTCCTTTCCTCCCCAGCTCACCTCATAAGCACTTGGCTAGACACATCCAGCCTCGCCTTCCTGCAGACTTTTTAACACTAAATTTTTTATTTTCTATTTAAATCCACTTAATAAAACAGATCAAAACATCTTTCTTTAGATTTAACTCTCTTTCAAGTCGTTTTTATGAAGAATTTGAGAACAATCAAAAATGGACTGAAGATCAATTTATCAAACATAGACAAGACCTCTTGGCCCATATAAATGAATGTCTGAAGGTCCTGCAGGAGAAACTGGTAAGGAGATCTACTATTTCACAAAGTTTAGCTGCATGGTCGTTGTCTGAATGTTAACCATGAGTACTAGTCTGGAAGGTCTCCCTTCAACTCTAATCATTTCAGTGCATCATAACTTAAAGTTTCAGCACTGTGACAGGAATCCAGCAACTCCTCTTCTGGTCCTTTTGCTGCTCCCAACTCTACAAACCTGCATGGCTCAGTTTGCTCTCCTTTTACCAAAGTAGCCTGAAAAGGTTTTATAAAAATACAGAGTCTTACCCTAGGCCTAGGGAGCCAGCACTCTGGGAGCCTCCACTGGGATCCTGTGCTTCTAGACGAGCTCCCCAGGCAATGCTGAGGCAGGAGAAAATCTTGGAAACTTCTGCCTAAACAAGTAATTTAATGTCTCAAGAAATCTGCTAGTAGATCACAAGTTTTCCAGATCAAACCACGTAAAGAAAGTCCTACACTTTGGGATGAGGCTGCCACAGTGCTGAGAAATTCACTTGTTCCATGTTCCCTTCTCTCGCTGCCCCCACTTGTGCCCATTGGGGAGGGCACCACAGTGCCATCACTGCGGTCAGCGACTATTGGTCTCACCGGAAGTACTAATAAGTTTTGAGAACTTTGGTGGAGGAGCCTTAGGCAATTTATGTCTCCAGCCCCATCTGAATTTAATAACTGAATGGGGTAGGAACCAAGGGCTGAAGACAGATATGAGAGTTTTACTCACAGAAAAGGATTTCTGTGTAGTTAGATCTGCAACTGTCAAGTGAGCTTGCTAGTTCTTCATCCCCAAATTAAGGAAATTCCTCTACAAGCTTTAGGTAGCACTAGGTGACTTTGGGGATCACTTCAAGGCAGAAGCGCCCAGCAAGAACAGGAAATTGGAATCCACCATTCCTGAAGCAGAAGGGCCAGAGAGGACAAGCAAAGGGGTGTCCCAGTCATGCCCAGTTTCTCCTCCCTAATTCCCTGTGTGGAGGTGAGAATCAGCCGAAAGCTATCTCTCATCCCTACCCTGCTGCCTACCAGAATCATCTGGAAAGCTTTCACACTATACGAATTCCTGGGTTCCATCATAAACCAACTATGTCAGAATTTCTGGAGGAGAGCATGATCAGGTAACTGCAATAAATAGCTGGCATACAGTCAGTATTCTAGCTGAGGACATCTAGGAAATAACTATGAAGCTCTACAAAATAAAAACTTCTAACACTTAGTGTGTATTTGTGTAATACAGGGGAAGGGGCTAAGACATTTTCCTTTGCTGGACTTCTTTAAACACCAAAGTTGCAAACCCTCAAAGCATCTCAGCAAAGACCACAGCCCTTTCCTTCCATAATTCATAGAACTTTGCAAACTGCAAACAAACAAGATCAAAGGAATTAATTCTTCCACGTGTGAACCCAGTTTTGGGTACAATGGATCTCAGTTTGCGTGTTCATACTTAGCAGAGAATAATGAACATGCTAAGAACGTGTTCTCCAAGTTGAAGTATACATTCCCGTAAGTTTTCTCCTTTACAGTTTTCTTACGTGATTTCTTTCCTAGGAAAAGTCAACAGATAAAACGGAAGAGAAAATTTTGCAGCTTTCAAGCAAATTAGAGAATTTAATGAATTCACAGAAACAGAAAGAAGAACTAACCAAACTAAAGCACACAGAAAATAAATTGTCCAAAAAAATGCAGCAAATGAAAACGCAGATCTGGGATGAGTTAGAAAAAATGCAGAACGAGTATCACTCAGGTAAGCTGTTATTTTTTGTTAAATAAAGAACATTTGTCCTTTCTTGTCCAACTCCTCCAAATTTTTTATTTTGAGGAATCAATCTGATTGTTGGTGACATCGTTATGTATTTTTCCTGGCTTCTTCAAATGCCCTATAAGCTGTCAGCATATTTCTGGGAGGGTTGTAAGTCAACTTTCTTTATTCACTCTGGGCAATGTCAGAAACCACTGCTGGGGGATTATTTTTTCTCTCAAAATCATTGAATCATAGAATTGTTCAACATACAAAGTCCTTAGAGATCACTGAGACCTGACTTTGTGGTATATTATGAAATTAGGAGCCTCAGTCAAATGTGCCTCTCGTTGAACTAAGGTAATGAGTCTAGACAGATGTCAGACTGGAAACTTGACCTTTAGAAATAAGGAAGAAAGATGAATTAGCAAAGTCCGTTGTAATAACTGCTTTTCTTCTTAAGAAGCTAATGGCAGCAGTGTCAAGCTGAGCTAACATCAAAGTGGATTAATTTGAAAGGCTCATCTAATTTGTCAAAGGGAAGGACATGCCGAAGGTGCTGTGGAGAAGCCATCTGCCTCTGGTCACAATTTGAGGGAATTATCAGGAAAGAGGACCTCTTATTAGACAGAGTCCCAGCCCTTTTTCTGTCCTCACCATCTCATAAAAGTTCTTGGTCCTGTGAAGAGATACACTGGAGGTACCTTGGGAAGGCACCACGGTATCATTCTACCTGGTGTTCCTTGCATGTAAATAAAATTTGCTGCCTTCACAATCCTCACTTCCTACCTCCAAATAAAACAATGAGTTACCTGGCCAGGAATCGTGCCCCTAACGTAACTGGTCCTTCTAATAAGGGCCTCATCATCTGCTTGATGTTTAATTTGACTCAAAGTCAAAAGGTGTAGAGAAATTTTCAGTCTATGTTTCTGCTCTTCCCTAAGTGGGAGTTGAAGGTGGACTGCAAATTAATGGTTGGCCCCAGTGGTAAACATGTGTCGAGAAGCCATGGTGTGAAAGGCCTTAATAAGTAAGGCGTAGTCGTCCCCAAAAAGCTTGAGGTCAGGTAGAGATGCACAGTGCTGGTGGAGGATGGCAGCAGGCCACCATTCTTCCCGGCCTCCAGAGAGGTTCCTTCCAGAGAAGCTTTTAAATCTTATCTGTGGTCTTTTGCGTTCAGTCTGGTAACAAGAGTTTTTAAAAAGATCATGCAAATCTCTTGTCAAAGCATTCAGAAAAAAATATTTTAAATGTAAAATTATTTCATTATATAATATATTTGGGAGTAGATAAAGGAAAATAAAGTTTTCACAATAAAACCAGATACAAGTTAAAATACTATTACTAATGCATCTTCATCACATAGGAGAAGTCAATATTTATATTTATATTATTCATTTATGTATTTGCGGGTGCCAGGGATTGAACCTAGGGCCTTCACACCGCCCTACATCCTCAGCCACTTTTTTGTTATTTTTTTTGAAACAGCATCTTGCTGAATTACTAAATTGCCTAGGAGGGGCTCAAACATACAATTCTGCCTCAGCCCCCAAGATGCTGGCATTACAGGCAAGCGCCACCGTACCCAGTTCTGTACATTTTTAGAGGTCTTTTTTTGGTTTGCCCTTTTGTTTTGTTTTTTGAGATAGGGTCTCACTATGTGATTCAGGCTAACTCACTATGAACTCACTATGTAGCCAGGCTGGCCTTGAATTTGTGACAATCCTCCTGCTTCAGCCTCCTGAGTACTGGGATTATAGGCACCACGCTGAGATGATGATTCTTACTGTAATTTAATGTGCTTTGAATTAAGTAATCATCAATTATGACAGGGCTGGGGATTAGCACATTTGTCTAAAAAGTATCCCAATGCATTGTTTTAACACAGTATTTTTATTCTTGTTTCCTTTCCCAGGGTTTCAATCAATTCATGACTCACTCAACTCCCTCCAACAAATACAGAAAACAAAAATGCATCTAGAGAAATATAGAGTACAAAAAGACATAAAGGATTTACAACGTAAGATAGTGGAACTTCAGGAAGTTTAAAACTTTCCAGTTGTCTTTTTTCCACCAGAAAACGGAATGCTTTGTTGGGAAAAGTTGTGAAGAAAATGAACATCTCCAGGATGTTTCAACTTCCAATGTCTCTGTATTTCTTACCACCTTTTAAGGGGATGAATGTACTAAGAAAGAAGAATAAAGCAAGAATTTTATGATATCTTAAAATTAATGAGCAAATTAAGGAATGTATTCATGTACATATCTTTTAATATTCTTTTACCTATGAATTAAGAGAAAGACATCCAAGCTGGGCATGGTGGTGAGTGCCTGAAACCCTAGCAGTCAGACGGCTGAGGCAGGAGAATTACTCTGTGTTTGAGGCCAGATTGAGCTACAAAGTGAGTTCAAGGCCAGCCTGAACTGCATAGTGAAACACTGTCTCAAAAAGATTAAAGAGAGAGAGCGTGAGCGAGTACGAGTGAGCACTATATAATGTACATAAATGAATAATGTAAAGCTAGGTGTAACAGACACTAAAAAGCAAGAACTAAGGTATATTGGAGACTATTGGCCCCATCTGAAAATATCATTTACAAGTCATTACTAACAAGAATTTAGTCAATTATTGTGAAAAATAATTTTAAGAGAAATTTCTCCATTTTTAAGCATTAATATTTAGTTCAAAATAGTTCACATCAGGGAAATATGTTGGAATAGATATATTCAGTGGGCTGTCAATTTACAACCTCTGCCAAGAGATTTTCCATTCTAACAATCCTAATGTATATAGTAAGTCAAGCATATACATATTTAAAATATATTGTTTTACTCATTACGTATCCAAATTACTAGCAAGTAAATGCTAACCCATGCAAATTTATAAATATATATAAATATAATGCTCTCCATGGATCCCAAAAATGATTTGGTCTAGGTGCTGAATTCACAAGTACTTCAGCAAACACAAGGTCCTGAGTTTGACTCCCAATACAAAAAAAGGTACTTGAAAAATACCAGTTTCCTATAAAATGAAGTCTAGTTTTTATGGATCAAAATGTCCTGTGGAGAGCCTAGAATGAAGCATTATGATCATGAAAAATAAAAACATTTTTCAAGGATTAATTTCTAATTGCAGAGCTTTCTATAAACCTAGCAAAGGGAACCTTGCTTCAGATTTAAGCACCTGTCTTGGTTTACAAAAGAAGAGTGATAATTTCTCCCCTAATAATGTCCATTTCTTTTAACTTTTTAAGTGTGTGAACAACCTCCATTCATTGTTATTAGTAAGCTGTATGCAGCAGCATTGGCTCTATAGTTGATGAGATTGTCAAACGATTTAATAGTTCAAAATTCAACAGCAATGCCCTTTGCATTCAAGTGTTATGTTAGGATAAAGAGCGAATAACCTAAGTAATCTCAACCTCTTACAAGATGATAATAAAATGTTGGATTCGGTACTTCTTTTTCCAAAATGGGCAAAGAATATGAACAGGCAAGTCAAAAAATGTATTATTAATCAATGATAGCATGAAGAGATACTCACTATCAAAAAATAAAAGTTAAGGAATTCTTAATTACCATTTTTCAGATTGGTAAAAAAAAAGTGATTGATAATCTAGTTTTGACAAAGATGTAAAGAAATGTGTACTCTCACACATTAGTGAGTCTTCCAAGTGATACAATGATTTAAAAGAATTTTGAAACATCTTTATACACTGAGCTAGAAATTTATATTACAAAAAAATTCTCACAATGAATGAAAAGATATAGGAAGAAAATGCTCATTACAGCATCATTTGTTATAGTTAAAAAAATCAAACTGCTAGAAGCTCAAACATGAGGAGTTTATTGACCAAGATAATGGTATTTACCAAGCCAGGAAAACATTACTGTAGATAAAGACATGCAAGATATATGTTTAAGCTAAAGATCAAGTTTAAAGCCAGTATGGAAGGGGCTGGGTATATAGCTCAGCAGCATAAGCACCTGCCTTGCAAGTGCGTGGTTGTGAGTTTGATCACTGGTACCGGTAAAAAAAAAAAAAAAAAAAAAAAAAAAAAAAAAAAACAGTATGTAAATGATCATACTTTTCCCAAAAATGTTTGTAATATTTTAAGACAATATGCACAGGATAGTATGTACACACACACACATGTGCGCGCCGACTCACACACGAAATTTACAACAAATTTAGCAATAGGAAGTTTTGTTTTCTAAATTAAGCATTCATCAATGCTTTTTCATCTTTCTAACATTATTTTTTGTTTCATTAAAAATATAGTTTGAAAAACAATATACCACTGAAAGGGTAACTTTGTAATGACCGAAACAAATGAGAATGGTTAAAATAGGAAATCATACAGGATAAGGGTCAAGTCATCAGGCCCACTTCCTATTCTACAGATAGAGCAAAAAAGCAAAAAAGTAGGTAGGAAAATATAAAAAGTGCATTATTTCTTTTTTCTTATCAACAAAAGTTCTCTGAACCACAATGCAATTCTAACAATAGTATGGGATTCAGCCAGAGCTTTCCTTGGAGTTGATCTCTTTCATTGATATTGACTGGAGAAATACCATCTAGGGAAGGAGAACAGCGGATGCTGTTAGCATTCTGCTACTTATGATGCCATGCAGGATTGTTCACAGGTTTGCACAGACTCTAGGTGTCCTGAGAGCTACGCTCAGTGAGAGAGTAGCCCCAAGTTTTGTAGAGTTTAAACTCCACATGGGCTAGCACAACAGTTTGCAGGAACATTCTGGGATGCCATTGCTACACTGGGGCAGCTAGCAGCAATTTAACACCATGCAAAACTGAATGCAAACAAGAACATATTGCTGGAACCCGAATGTGTCTCCAACTTAGTTTTTCCTTAACTGGATCCAATGATGGCTATAGCCACCCTACCACCATCTGACATCAAAAGAAGAGTGGCCTTAATCAATAGTAATAGGCAATTATGGTTAAGATGTATTACTTGCACAAATTTTCCAATGACTTTGTAAATACTTGGCCAGGGTTCATGCAAATTCGAGGCTCTGAAGCATCACGGATGGTTATACATAAATCCATCTCTGATCAGGAAACAGTGGGACACTGATCTCCTTCCCTTTTCATTTATTTTGCCATGAATGTTTTCTGGTTAAAAGGTAATAAGTACAAATGATTCACCTCTCAGAGAAGCTTAACAGGTATCACACTTTATTCTATATCCAACAAGATTACTTAATCTCATAAGTGTCAGATTTCTCTCCTTGCAAATGCAGGATGATGTTTGAGTATTGCAAAATATGCAACCTAAATCCATTGCAGATGGCAAATTATAGTGTACCAGGTAGTTCTCACTTTACACAAAACACTGCTCTACAGTCTTGGGTAATTTGAGAGTCCAGCCCCCTTTTGGCATTTGCTCCATTACCTTCCTCTTACTAAAACCTGCTGTTGGAAAACAGGAGGAAATCACTGACATTGGTTATGGCCATTTTTTGGGGTACAGTACAAAAACACAGCAACCAAAAGCAAACACTAAGTAGAACCACATCAAATTAAAAAGCTTTCATACTGCAAAGGGAACAACAAATGAAAGACAGTATATGGAACAGGATAAAACAGAACTGTCTCTCAGGATAAAGCAAACAGTGAAAAAAAATAAAATAAAACAGAACTGTCCCATAATATCAGCATGGGACAGATTCAGAACCACGCATTCCCCAAATCTACAGATGCTCATCTCTTTTATGTAACAGTGTGGTATCTGCCTAAGACCTATGCACATAATCTCAAAAATGCTTTCTTTTTGCAGGGATAGACTCAAACCTCACACATGGTAGGTCGTGCTCCGCCACTGAGCATGGCACCCCCAGTCCCTACCATATACTTTAAATCATCTCTAGATTATGTATTATGCCTAATACAATGTAAATGCTTTGGAAATAGTTTGTTATACCCTGTTATTTTAGGAATAATAATAAAAGCTAGTCTATACCTGTTCAATATGAACAAAATTTTTTTCTTTTTTACTGATCAATGGTTGGTTGAATCTATGGATGAATATGCAAATATGGAGAATTGACTATATGTGATAGGTGGCTAATATACAAAATATATAAGAACCTTATATAACTCAATAGTAGAAAAACAAAAATAAATCCAAATAACCCAATTAAAAACTTGGAAAAGACCTAGATAGACATTTTCCCAAACATATATAAATGGCCATCAGGTACATGCAAAAGTGCTCAATATCACTACTCATCAGGAATATTCAAATCAGAACAACAATGAAATACCACTATATATCAGTTGAAAAATCAATGATAAATCTGTCTCTCTACTAGGACAAAGTATCTGACACCCTCAACTTAAAGGAGAGGTTTATTTTGGCTCAGAGTTCCAGTCCATGGTTGGCTAATTCCAAGGCAGAAACAGCATAGAGGAAGCATATGCAGACAAAAGTTACTCACACCATGGTGGCCAGGAAGCAGAGAGTGAAAGGAGGAGCAAAGGAAGGAGATACACCCTTCCAGGCCACAACCCAGTGACTGGCCTTTCCAACCAGGGCCTGCACCTCACAGCACGTTCTGTTCTAAATTCTTCAGGGGATGAAACTATTGATGAGTATAGTGACCCCATGATTCAATCACCTCTCAAAAGCCCCAACCTCCGAACACATGAATCTTTTGGGGGACATTTAAATCTAAGCCATAACAAAAGAAGTATTTAAAAAAAAAAACCCTACCAATGATAAGTATTAGAGGGCATGTAGAGAAAAGGGAACTCTAGTTCACTGTTAGTGGAATTGTAAATTGGTACAACCAATATAGAAATATACAGAGTTTATTCAGAAAACTACAAATAGAGCTATCATGTGATCCAATTACCGCATTTCTGGGTATCAAAGGAAAGGAAGTCAGCATCTTGACATATTTGTACTCCTGTGTTCACTGTAGTATTATTAAAACAATGAAATAGGGAAAATAAACCTGTGTCCCTTGGCAGATGAATGGATCAAGGAAATGTGGTATACATATACAATAAAATTTTGTTGGTTTAAAAAAGGAAATCCTGACATTTTTAATAACATAAATGAACCTAGGGAATGTAATGCTACATGAAATAAACCAGACAGAAAATACTGCATGACTTCACTTATATATGGCATACAAAGAAGTCAAACTCATAGAAATAGAGAACAGAATAATACTGTATAATAGTTGGGAGTTGGGATAAGAGAGAGATTTAGGTCTGTGTTAGCTTTCCATCACTGTGATAAAAGACCTGAAAAAAGAGGAATGGGCTATTTGGACTCATGATTCCAGAGCTTTCAGTCCACAAGTCACTTGCACTAGTTGTTCTGAGCCTTAGAGGCAGAGTCTATTCAAGTGTTGGAAATGCATAGTAGAGAAAGACTTCTCATCTTGCGACAAGGAAGTACAGAGAGGAAGGAGTCAGAGTTCCAATATGTCCTGAAAAGCAGACCTCAATGATCTTTCTTTCACTAGGCCCCACCTCCTGAAGGTTCTATCACC